ACGCCTAAAGCGTGGCAGACCTGTAGGTTCCAAAGATAAAAATCCTCCAAAGAAAAGAGGAACAAATGAAAGGATTGAAGATTTGAATGTTAATCAAAACCCTCAAGAAACAGGTAGTAACATGGATCAGATTTCTAGAGAAAATGATCCTAATAAACTTGATGAGGATGTTAATCCTAATATAATTTCTTCTGAAGAGAATGAAATTATTGAAAATTCAATAAATTATGTTACTACTGGAAAGCATTGGAACCGAAGTGATACAATTATGGATAATGCTTTTGCATATAATGTAGCACTTGATCTAATGGAAAATGACGAGGATCCAGAACCTAGATCAGTTGATGAATGTCGGAAAAGAATAGATTGGCCAAAATGGAAATATGCGATCCAGTCTGAATTAAATTCACTGGTAAAACGGAAAGTTTTTTGACCCATTGCTCAAACACCTGAAGGTGTTAAGCCTGTTGGCTATAAATAGGTATTTATTCTAAAGCGAAATGAGAATAATGAAATTGCCAGATATAAAGCAAGACTTGTTGCCCAAGGTTTTTCACAAAGACCTGGAGTTGATTTTAATGAAACATATTCTCCAGTAATTGATGGAATAACATTTCGATATCTTGTCAATTTGGCAGTACATGAAAATTTGGATATGCGTCTGATGGACGTTGTAACTGCATATTTATATGGCTCATTGGATAGTGATATTTACATGAAGATCCCTGAAGGATTTAGTATGTCTGATGCATATAAATCAAAGCCAAAAGAATATTATTCTATTAAGTTACAAAAATCTTTGTATGGGTTCAAACAATCTGGTCGCATGTGGTATAATCGTCTCAGTGAATCATTATTGAAAGGGGGATATGCCAATGATTCTATTTGTCCGTGTATTTTTATAAAAAAAAATGGGAGAAATTTTGTAATAATAGCTATCTATGTGGATGACTTGAATTTAATTGGAACCCCTGAAGAGGTCCAAGAAGCTATTGAATATTTGAAAAGGGAGTTTGAAATTAAAGATTTCGGGAAAACGAAATTTTGTCTTGGTCTACAAATTGAAAATTTGAAAAATGGGATTTTGATGCATCAATCTGCATATACCCAGAAGGTATTGAAACGATTTGCAATGGATAAAGCACATTCATTAAGTACTCCAATGGTCGTTAGAACTTTCGATCCTATTAGACCAAAAGAGGAGAATGAGGAAGCACTTGGTCCTGAAGTACCATATTTAAGTACTATTGGTGCACTAATGTATCTGGCTAACAGTACTAGACCAGATATAGCGTTTGCTGTAAATTTATTAGCCAGATTTAGTGCAATGCCAACACAACGACATTGGAAATGAATCAAACATATTTTTCGTTATCTCCAAGGATGTATTGATCTTGGTCTATTATATCCATAAGGATCTCGACATGAATTGATTGGATATGCAGATGCTGGGTATCTTTCTGATCCGCATAAAGCCAAGTCTCAGACTGGCTATATGTTTACTTATGGCGGTACAGTGGTATCTTGGAGATCCACTAAACAAACATTAACCGCCACATCTTCAAATCATGCAGAAATAATAGTAATTCATGAAGCCAGTAGAGAGTGTGTTTGGCTAAGATCAATGATTCACCACATTTTACAGAATTGTGGTTTGAAATCTGAAAATGATAATCCTCCTACTATCTTGTACGAAGATAATGCAGCTTGTATAGCGCAACTGAAAGAAGGATATATCAAGGGAGATATAACGAAACATATTTCACCAAAATTTTTCTTTACTCATGATCTCCAAAAAAATGGTGAAATAAATGTACAGTAGATTCAATCAGACCAAAATTTAGCAGACTTGTTGACCAAGGCTTTACCGACCGCAACGTTCGAGAAATTAGTGAAGATCATCGGGATGCGTCGGTCGCAAGATTTCAAATGATGTCCACATCAGGGGAGCAACATTTCAAGTGATGTCCACAACAAGAGAAGTATTTATAATGCATGAATGACGTACTCTTTTTCCTTAACGAATTTTTGTCCTGTTGGGTTTTTTCCTAGTAAGGTTTTAACGAGGCGTATTCATTACAGTTAATGACACCTAAAGGGGAGTGTTATGACTCATTAGTTATTAGGATATGTGTCATTATTTTGTATAAACACATGGCAATTGATGATGAGTAATGTTATGTAATATTGCTTATAAATAGCCTTTATGAAAAATGAATGAAAAAAAAACTCCTTGCACTAATTTCGATTCTATTTTATCTCTCCCTCCTCTCTTATCTCTCTCTATCTAGACATATATATATATATATCTATACATTTAACATCTATATTATTATATATTATTAGTAGTAGTACTATACTTTGTTATATATTTTATAACAATATTTTATTTAATCGAGATCAATAAATAAATAGTTTCTATTACTATTTAATAGTTTGTGATTATTTACATTTATATATTATTATTTGTCACTATATAAATATATATATATGAAATCAATCTACTTATTGTTTAAGTAGATATTTACTAGACATACTAATTATTTTACAATTGTTTAAATGCGTAAGTGTGTATATGATTTTTTGATCCACTATTAACCCTAAGCAATAAATTCAATTTCATTACTATATAAAAAGAACACACCATTGCAGCATTATAATTATCTAATAGGATTCGTGCTTTTATTTATTTATTTATTTATTTTACATAAGAAAAATATAATTTTTGAAAAGAATGCTCGTACTTTTAGATTCTTTTATTTATTTATTTTTTATGATGTGAGAATCTGCAATCGTTATTCGAAATTGCGTACCGGGTAAACTTCCGCCGAACCTAATACCCTAAAAATTAGGTCCGATAAAACAAGTCACACTAGGCGAACCATGTGACAGGTGGACCTGGAGACATCTTGAATCCATGTGTCCTATCATAATTGGAACATATGACAATTATATGATCTATATTTCCTCCGTTCACCATCGTTTTCAGATGGATTAATTTTTGGTGTGATATATTATACGAGAAATTATGTCAAAAATGTAAAATATATTATTTTAAGTTGAATATTCTTAATTTTTGATTTTTTTTAATAAATATTTATTTTTTTGACTTTTTTTGACTTTTATAAAAAGTATTTTATATTATTTATATTATTTTTGATGAATCGTAATTGAAGAATACGAGTGGGTGAACAACATGTTTATATATATATGGCTTTTGTAATTTATTCTAAATTTATTATTTTATTTTAATTTTATAATATTTTTAAGTCATAAAATTCTATATTTTACAAAATAATACCAATATTGAATTTATTTTTATTAACTGAGAATTTAAAATATATAAATACAAATATCATTTAATTTTTTTTAATTCAAATCAATATTAAAAAACTAATTCAATTTATTGAATAAATATAAGTTTAAATTTTAACACAATTAAATAATATAAAATTATATTTCCTCCGTCCACCTGGGTTCAATTATAAAGTAAACATTTCATTGAATATCTTATTTTTTTCCACAAATACTCTTACTTTACATCACATCGTTACTTTTATACAAAAAGCAAAGACAAAAATATTATTACACTATTTTTTTAATTATCTACTATAATTAAAATACTATTATTTCTTAAACACCGTGTCAAAAGTAAATGTATACACTGTAAGTAAATGAAGGGAGTCTTAAACAAGATTTGTTCACTCAATATTTTTTAATAGAACAATTTTCTATAAATATTATTAAAAAAATACAAATATAACGGACTATAATCAATCATAAAAATAAATATAAAACTAAAATATACATATGATAATAAAAATTAATTAAAAAATTGAAATATATATTGTGAGTAAAAAATATAAGAAAGTATAATATTAGGTGTGTTATAAAGTAATTAATATGCTTACAAAATATTTGAAATATTTATCTATTATCTTATTCATATTTTATTTGACAGAAATTAATGTTGTTCTATAAATATTTTATAATTCTTCAAGAGCTGCATATATATATTTATAATTATTTATTCTGTAATATTAATAGATTACTTCTTTGAAATTGCCAATAATTTATGTTATTGATGATTGTTTTTATCGTCAATAATTACTTCATAAGATTGCTTTTAAGTTTATTATAAATATATATATATATATATTTATTTACTCCGTTCATCACGTAGAAAGGTTATCGTTTATTTTTTGAATGTACATTTTAAAATATTAGTATTATATTAAATTATAGTGAAAAGAAAAAAAACACCCCTATTACTATTATTATTGTGTAATATAAAAATAATAATATTTGTATAATATAGTGTAAGTTGAAACGATATTTATTATACTAGGTAGGTAGTATAATTACTAAGTTAGAAAATGATAAGTTTGTTTTGGGACAGACGAAAATGAAAAATGACCACGTTTGAATAGGAAAGAAGGAGAGTAAAATTTTAATTATTTACAAAATGGTATCCACAGTGCATATATTTTAGTGAAATATAATTTCAAAAATATTTAAAATACCAACACTGCTCTTATAAAAAAAATAATAAAATAACATCATAATTTATTATTAATAATTTATTAATATATACTCCAATACCTTGTCCTGACAAATGGGGGAATATTATATTTATATCATTAATCAACGAATCGTCAATCCCTACATCTACTTCGTAGATTTATATTTATCTTTTATACTTAATATTCAAAATATTCTTTCGAAAAAAACAAATGTAAACCTTAAAAAAGTGGACGAAATAAATATTTTTTTTAATAAATTATTTTAGAAAGAATGAAATAGAAAAAGTGACCAAAGTTGGAAGGAGGAAAACCGGAGAACCGGCGGTTCGACTGGGCAAGTCTGGATCTATCCATAATCCATGTACCTTCCACCCGACCCGACCCGACCCGGCCCAGCTCCACTAGTGCAATACGCTCGTAACGCTCCAAAGGTCACAACGTTGTTCACTCAAAAAAAAAAAAAAAAAAAAAAAAAAAAAGCCTTCAAGTTGGGACGATTTCTTCATGGATGGCGTGGTATCTTCTTCCTAGAAATCAGTCCAAAATGTTTCCGCCCCCCAACTTGTTGAAAATCGGTTATTCTCCGACCATTAGAGACTTTAACAACTTCCTTTTCCTCCTCTGCAGCAAGCAAAGGTTCAAAGCTGTTATTTACATTTTCTCTCAACTCAGCTCCAACCAAATCAATGCCGACACCCAAACCCTCAAAATTTTTGCAAAAGCTTTGCTGAAGGAGAATAAATATGGAGGAGGCGTTGGTTTCTCGAAAACCCTTCGGGTGAAGTCTAGGATTGGCAATATGAATCGGGTTCTTGATTCTTCGTTACAAGGAGTTTGTTCTTCTAATCATGATCCTGATAGGGGATTTTCTCTATTGAAATCTTTCTTGGAAATCGAGGGATTCTTCCCTTCTTCTCGCACCTTTTGTTTATTGATTTTTGGCTTTAGCAAATTGGGGAAAATGGATAAGGTCATTGATTTGTTAGAATTGATGTCCGATGATAAGTTCAATTATCCTTTTGATAACTTCGTTTGTAGCTCTGTGATTGCTGGTTTTTCAAGAATTGGGGAATATGAACTTGCGGTTAGGTTTTATGATAATGCTGTAAAATCCGGTAATTTAGTGCCCAATGTCGTCACCTGCACAGCACTTCTGAATGTGTACTGTAAATTGGGGGAAAAAGTTGAGGCTTTTGATTTGGTTGCTTGGATGGAAGACAATAATTTGCCTTTTGATGTTGTGTTCTATAGCAATTGGATGTATGCTTGTTTAAGTGAAGGATTGATTCATGAGGCGCTTGAAAGGTTTACATCAATGGCAGACAGAAAAATTGAGCTGGACAACATTGGCTATACAATGCTTATTGATGGATTTTCGAAGCAAGGAATTGTGGAGAAGGCTGTTGGTTTTTTGTACAAGATGAGAAGAGAGGGAGTCGAACTGAATGTGGTTACCTACACAGCAATCATTTTGGGGTTTTGCAAGAAAGGGAAGTTAGATGAGGCGTTAGCAATTTTTGGCATGCTTAAGAGGTTGGGGATGGAGCCCGATGAAGTTACATATGCTGTTTTGATTGATGGAGCTTGTAGAACTGGTGATTTCAGCCTTGTATTCCAGCTGCTCGATGAAATGGTGAAGAAAGGTGTGAATCCTGGTGTTGTGACGTACAATACTGTCATTAATGGATTGTGCAAAGTTGGGAGGACAATGGAGGCTGATGATTTCTCAAAGGGCATAATTGGGGATGCTGTGACATATACAACACTTTTACATGGATATCTTCAAGAGCAAAGTTCCTTAGGCATATTAGAGACAAAAAGACGAGTTGAGGAATCTGGTGTGACGATGGATATAGTAATGTGTAATGTGTTGATTAAAGCAACACTTATGATAGGCTTGTTCGACTATGCTTATGCAATTTATAGAGGGCTTACGACGATGAATCTCTTGGCTAATTCTGTCACATACTGTACCCTAGTTGATGGATATTGTAGAGTGGGTATGATTGATGAGGCACTTGAGGTATTTGAAGATTTCCGGAAGTCATTGAATGTTTCGGCTGCTTGTTACAATTGTATCATTTCCGGTCTTTGCAAAAAAGGGTTGGTAGATATGGCGATAGATGTATTCATTGAGTATATTGGGAAGGGTATGCCTTTGGACAAGACTATATGTAAGTTGTTGATCAAGGCGATGGCAGAGAACAAAGGTGCAGAAGGTATTTTAAAGATGATATATAAATTGGAAAATGTGGAGCATCAATCATTGTGCGATATATGCAACGACACTATTTTTTTCCTGTCCAAAATGGAATTTGTTTTCCCTGAGGACTTGTGGTGCGGAATATTGTCGCAGATGAGGAGGAAAGGATTAGAGTTGTCTAGCATGTGTTTTTATTCGATGTTGAGGAAGCTTCTGAGTGAAGGTAAAACACCATTGGTTCGTAGTGTGTTACCTTTGTTTGTTAAAAGCCATGGCATGTTTGATGTTGGAGTTTGTAAGATACTTGTGCATTACCTGTGCTTTCTTGATGTGAAAAAGGCACTTGTATACCTCTCAACCTTGAATGGGAATGAATGGAGCATTACCATCCCGATTATGATTTTCATGACACTGACAAATAATGGTCGAGTTTTAGATGCATATGAGCTCTTGGTGGGTGCTGAAAACCATCTCCCAAATATGGATGTTTTCAATTACTCAATTATGGTTGATGCTCTTTGTAAAGGCAAGCATATCGATAAGGCGTTGAATGTTTGCTCTGTAGCAAAGGGAAAAGGGATAGCGCTAAACATTGTTACTTACAATTCTGTCATAAATGGTCTCTGCCATCAGGGTTGTTTGATTGAGGCTTTTAGATTGTACGATTCACTGGAGAGGATCAATGTTTGTCCTACGGAAGTTACATATGGTACTCTTATTGATGCTTTAGTTAGAGAAGGACTTCTACATGATGCTAGGATGCTCTTTGACATAATGTTGGCGAAGGATCTCACCCCGGGCACACACATCTATAATTCATTGATCAATGGCTATTGCAGGGTGGGTCGACTCGAGGAAGGTATGAAACTTTTCCATGATTTGGAAGTAAGAGTTCTTAAGCCTGATGGATTCACAGTTGCTGCTCTGATCAATGGCTATTGCCAGAAAGGGGATATGGAAGGGGCTCTTAAGTTGTATTTTGAGTTCAAGCTCAAAGGATTACTACCTGATTTTCACGGCATAATGCATCTAGTAAGAGGGCTGTGTGCTAAAGGAAGGATGGAAGAGTCCCGGAGCGTATTAAAAGAGATGCTTCAGACACAATCTTTTGTCGAGATTTTACGCAGGGTAGACCTTGAAATTAAATTGGATTCAGTGGGGAATATGCTCATGTTTCTTTGTCAGCAAGGGCGGATGGATGAGGCTATTGCAGTGCTTAATGAAGTCGAGTCCATTCTTTTCTTTACGGGACGAAGTTGTTCTACCCATGTGCCGGATTCCGAAGCAGGAATAGATCCATTGCCTTTCAGCGACAGTCAACGCAATCAGCTCAGAACTAGTGGTGGTGAAGATGGAAAAGTAGAGCTATTGAAGGATTTCGATTCGTTCTATTCGGTTATTCGTTCACTTTGTTTAAAAGGGAATTCAATTGAAGTGAAGAGACTAATGAAAATGCTCATGACATCATGAACTTTTCAAAGAAGTTCAAATGAGGAGCAAACAATGCTTGTCTCTATGACACTGATCTACCACACAACGGCAGGTAGAGTTATATCTAATACTAATATATACTGTGTCGTACGTATGGCTACTTAGAAATACCATTCTACCACCCTTCTCGTTTTCTTTTAATCTCCTTAGGAAAAAGCCCTAGCTCGACCATTTCTTTGATCGAGTGAAGTTGCTAGCGTTGCATCATCGCTTCCAGATCGACAACTTCTATTGCTCTAGTCCCTTCACTTCTCGGCGCCGCTTTGGAGGTAGTTTATCATGTTTTCTAGAATTAGTTATATTTTCGGGTTTTTGTTGAAATCGGTTGCTAGCATTGTGGGTTCATTTGGGTGTCAAATTCTTAGTAGCTCTTTAGATTCAACACTAGAGGAAGAGGAAGAGGAGGAAGAAGAAGTCGAAGAGGATGAAGAGATGGATGAAGAGGAGTTATAAGATGGCATTCAATCTGTTGACAGTCTATCAAGCCACTTTCTTTATTGGATCTTCTATTGGGAAAATTAAGGAGTGGTAGATGTGATATTATAATTTTATCTTGGATTTGATATCCTCTTGTTTATGTATATTTCATTTGAGCTACTCTTCATTTGCTTGCTCTGATTGCATGGTTGGCAGGTGCTGTTGTTAAACAAGAAAGAGGGAAGCTTCTTGCTGATTTACCTCAACCTGGTGATGAAGTGACTGTTGCAAGAGGTGGACGTGGAGGGTAAGGATCTGTCTTCTCGATCGTAGCCAAATGAATTCTTTTTATCATGGTAATGTGGAATAGAATAACTTTATGCAATTGGGAGTGGATCTCACTGCTATCGCTTAGAGGAAAATTATTTTATAAAGGGGCCAGACGGTTATTGAAAATTGTATCTTTTGTATTCATGTTAAAAGACATCTTTTGCATGCTGCTGTATGTGAGTACCTGTACTGGTATTCTGTTTACCGTGCTCTTGTCTTCCTTATAAAGAATTTATTGTGCTTTTTTTATTGGCCTGTTGTCGGATCAGCTTGCTGGAAATGCCTTCTTCACAGGCCGGTGTCCCTATCAAACCCCCGAAGCATGGCTGCCGGCTTTCAAAAGAAGTGAGGTTTTGGTTGTGTTGGCTTATTAGCATTCAGCCGTTCTGCTAGGTTGTCCTATTTTCGTTGGTCTTTGAACTTTTTTTTTTTGTTGTTGTATATATGGTTTGTTGGCTAGATTTGAAGTTCAGTGTTGCTGTTTTATCATTTGATTGTCGATGGCAGTGAAATTGTTTTTTGGCGTTTTCTTGCAGCTACTATATTCTCTACAAGTTAATGAAGAAAAATGTCAAGCAATACATCTAGCAAATAGATGCTTCGGAAGAAAATTGGGACTCTGTCCTTAAAAGATTTCTCAAGAATTCTGGATAAGCAGGTAGATGAAAGTAGTTGGTATATCTTCAAAGATAATTTTTACTGAAGTTGTGTCTACCATGTCTCATCTATGTTTTAGCACAAATTTTCCCATGCCATTTTAGGGTGTGTTTGTTTGGGGGTTTGGATTTGGAGTTCGGATTTGAATAGTAAAAATTTTGAATTGTAATAGTTGTATGATTGTGATATAAATAGGTGTTACATGTGATATTTTGAATGTAAAATTAATTTTTAATTTGTATTACAGGAATCTTAGACGAACCATGTGTGTTAAGTGATTTGGAGGCGTCAGATATTTGAACTCTATGACATCACGGTCGCGAGTCCACCTCCACACCACCCGACCATCTCCTACGGCACAACAATTTCTTTTTGCAGGACCCCATCTGGTTATTGTGACAGAGGAATTGGCAACTCCATCAGATAATCAGTTATAGAGTAAATATAACAGAAGAAAAATTATTTCCTAAGGACTATGCATGCCCTCTTTGATTTTTTATTTTTTATTTCTTTTTTCTCTGTTAATATTGTAGCTGGGAAATGCCTATAGATAGAAAACTTGGCACTTTGCAATGCTTTTCCATGGAGGTTACTGTGATTCCTTAAACTTTTCTGGTCTTGTTTTTCTTGGATGCATTTTTCTCTCATAAACTCATATTGCGCAATCCCTGACATATAATTTGTTTCAAAACCTAAGCATAACATTGAGATTCTTCTCTCTTTTCTTCAGTATTCACAACCACCTGTTTCCAAGCCTAATCTTTCCAATGAAATCTCTATTTCCATTTTTGTAGGACATCCAGATTGAATTTATTGGTATTATTATATTTTATTGAAATGTATATTTTTTAAAACACTTAAACATACATTTTAAATTTATTTTAGTGATATGTATTACATTATAAATTAAATTTAATTAGACATAACTTCGAACCTCGGTTATAACCAACAACCAAACATACTTTTGTTTAAAAAGGTATGTTGCACTATTATTCAACAGTAATTTCTTCATAAGATAATACTCTCTGTCCCGATGCAAAGTTGTCGTTTACTTTTTGCACGTAGATTTTTGGATATTAGTATTATAATAAGTTGTAGTGAAAAAGACGAAAATATCCTATTAGTATTGTGTAATATAAAAATAATGACATTTGTGTAATATAGTGTAAGTTGAAATGATATTTATTGTGTTAAATAGGTAGTAAAATTAGTAAATTAGGAAATGGTAACCTTGTTTTGGAACGGACAAAAATGAAAAATGACAACATTTTAATGAGACGGAGGGAGTATTAATTTTTTTCTCATAAAATATTATATTAAATACATACCGTTTTATTATTTCTAGAAGTTTAAAATTTTCCAAAAATCTAAACCATCGGGCTAAAAATAATTCTGTATAATTATTGTCATAATCTAATTTCGTAACTCAAGAATTATGTGCAAAACTTGTGCAAATACAGTCTTAATAATCAAAATCACACTTAGCGCACAATATATATACTAGTGCTTATGAGCGCGCTATGCGCTAGTAGGATTTTTTTGGATGCAAAGGTATGAAGATATAATAACGAGAAAATAGCTTGAAAATATCTTAGGAATAGTCAGTTCGGGTGGATGTACGTAAAACATTGAAAGTGTATTTATTGATTGAAGTTGAGCGGATGATAGAAATGCCGGAGAAGATATTCATTTCACTTTTGTTGATTTTGGGTGAAGATGATCTAGTGTATCTATTTCTATTTAATTTTTTTTTTTTTATTTTCTATTTTTATCTCTTCTACATTATTTGTCTTTTTACTTTTTAAAATGTGATTATACGTTTAAATTTTATATTTTATAATTTTTAAAATTTAATTAAATTATTTAGTTATTTTAATTTTAATTTATAATTATTTTTATTAATATATTTTTTTAATTATTTTGTCTCGTATTACCTGAGAGAGAGGGAGTAATTTTTTTTATTTATACATATTTTCTTTTTTTTACCTTTTTAGAAGTAATTTATTATTCTCTCCATCCCATAACAAAGTATTCATTTTTTTTTAGTAACTGTACTATGTACCTAACATTACAAATACTCTTACAACTTACAATATATTATACAAATATCATTACATTTATATCACACGTACTAATAAAGTTATTTTAGTCATTTCTACTTTATTCCTACTATATCTCAATATAATACTAATATTTCTAAAACTACGTGCAAAAAGCAAATGAATATTTAATTCCGGAACGAAGGGAGTATAATATACCAACAAACACTAGAGAGAGAAAAAAAATTATATATAAATTGATATATTAATTACATAGAAAGTATAATTACTACTCCATAAAATAAAATGAATATATTGATTTTGGAGAATATTTAAAAGGAAAAATTTATTTATGTATCAATATAACCAAAATTTATTAATTTTGATCTCAATATAAAAATTTTATCAATTTTGGTCATAATATAATCAAAATTTATATTTTTTGTTCCAATATAACAAAACTCATCATTTTTTTTCCAAATATAAATTTTTTATCAATTTTAGTCTCAATATAACAAAACTCAATTATTTTTTGTCCCAATATAATCAAACTTTATCTTTTTTTTTGTCCCACCGTCAACAAACCGACGGAAAATATTGACGTGTGTTATGAGAAAACGAGAAAGAAAGCAAATAAAGAACACAGAGGTTTTACGTGGTTCGGTGACGATGTGTCAACCTACGTCCACGGGCAGGAACCGGAGAGATTTTATTATACTGATTCAGAGATTTACAATGTGTCATCCGACTAAAAACCATAGTTGTCTATTTATAAGCACTCCAAAACACCCTAAACCGTAAGCCTATTTGTTATCAATTAGGATAAGCCTAAAAGAAACCCTGCCAATTGAAACAACCCTTTCGCTTTGGTTTAGGGTCGGGTAGACCGCTAAATCCAAGTCACGTTTCAACAATCTCCACCTTGACTTGGAGTTTCTCCAACTGCCAAAGGTTCGTCAGTATCTCTCAGTCGTCTCCTTCCTGCCAGATGCCCCGAGAGGGCTTTACCTCCTACGAATATTCACCAAGTTCAAGCAGTGCTCAAACTTCTCCGTCGGTAGCGCCTTTGTCAACATATCAGTTGGATTGTGCTCTGTAGCTATTTTCTGAATAGAAAACTTGTCTTCCTCCAAAACATCACGGATAAAATTCAACCTTACATCAATATGTTTGGTTCTCTCATGATACACTGGATTTTTAGCCAAACTCAAAGCACTTTGACTATCACAGAATAACACCGGTTTCTCCACCTTCAGACCCAAACTCTGCATCAGACCATGTAACCAGATACCCTCCTTAATACCTTCAGTCATTGACATGTATTCCGCCTCAGTCGTCGACAATGCAACCGTAGGTTGTAAAGTAGACTTCCAACTGACTGCACATCCAAACAAAGTGAAGATAAAACAAGTTAGTGATCTTCGTTTCACCAGGTCACCCCCATAATCAGAGTCTGCATAGCCAACAAGACCATCACCATGGCCTTTATCATCATATACCAGACAAATATCAGACGCTCCTTTCAAATATCGCAAGATCCACTTTACAGCTCCCCAGTGAGCTTTATCCGGATTAGCCATAAACCTGCTCACCACACTAACCGCATAAGC